AACCCCCATAAGTCAGTGTTCCTGGTGTACCCCAAATGATCATTCACTTGCTCTGACCTGATGGTACAATACTCAGATAATAGCATAGGAATATCATATCACAACTGATCCTTGAGCAACTTGGGGCTCGGGGCCCAGGATATGCAGTGGAATATCAGAGGTCAGGCTCTCCTTACCAGAAGTTCCACAACTTCAGATTGTGTGTAGTATACTGTAGTACATACTTACTGGGGAAAAAACCAACATGTAAGTGGACCCATGCAGTTCAAGCTTGTATTCAAGAGTCACACTATAGTATGGCTAGATTTTTTTTTCCCCCACTGCACAGAATGTTTTTCCTTTTTTCTTTTGGTTCTATTTAATTCTTATTTCTTTTGTGCTGTTTTCTAAGCCTGAAAACAGTTGTTCTTAAGTCTAAAAAATGTGAGGCCTTTTGGAAGCATCATTTAGTTTATGTCTCTTACATGCAAATTGGTCTGCTGGTGAAGGAACTTGATTGGGGTGGGGGATGGGGTGGAGATGTTACTTCTTCATCCATGTAAGATAAACTTTTTATATGTAATGTTGAGAGTAGGAGAAGGGGCGGGAAGACGTGGCTTAGTTTGGTTTTTCAGGCTACAGACTCAGGTTCAATTCTGGTGGAAAGAAGAAAGGAAGAAAACAGACAGATGTACTCTGAAGAAGTAGTAAAGTGAAAATCCCTTCACTGGCCTCATCTCATGCGCAGTCTCCCTCTAGATGCCTGCACCAAGACAGGTGGCCTGACGGTCTCTACCCTAGGCACCATAAAACCTCACATTATTTCTCCCAGAGGACCCCAGCCAGAATTCCTTTTTATTCCTTAGGAATTATTTACTTCTCTTGCTCTCAGAGGTTTAGGGCTACTTGAGAACTCTAGTGTGGTCCAAAAAGGAATGTTTTCTTATTATCTTATCTTGGAGAAAGGCTGGATATTTGCTCCAAAAACTTCTTGGTTCTCTTCTGCCAGCCACTGCTGGATGCTAAATTTGATTAAAAAAATTTTCACTATAGTATTGTCAAGCCTATAAACCTTAATCTAAACTGCTATGGGTTGAAAATGCTGGACTTTGAGAAGCTTTTAATAATTAAGTATACAAGGTTTTAAAATAGTTTACCATCAGATGACTGATTTCCATATCATAGTACAAGTATAATTTTTAAAAAAAGATCATTCAGTTAACACTTGCATACAGATAACAGTGTGATTTGAGAGCAGAGTCTCTAGACCTCAGCATTTTTGACATTTTGGTCCAGATACTTCTTTGTTGGACGCTGCTGTCTCGTGCATCATAGCAGCATACCTCGCTTTTGCCAGCTATATAGCAAGGAGCACCCTTGTCTAATGAAAACCAAAATTGTCTTCGGAATGGCCACTTGGGAGCAGTATTGCCCCAGTGGAACATCACTGTGCTTCTGTAAGCCTTGCTGCCCACTAGAATCACCTGGGAAGCTCACTACTTCCCATCCCCACTCACCCAAACCCCAGGTTCCAGACCCTGACTTCCATCTAGAATTTCTGATTTCTTTGCTGTGTAGTGAGGTCTTAGCCTCCAGGTTTTGCTGGTGGTGTATTGTTTGTCTTTAAGCCAATTCTAATTGCGCCATACTTGAGACATATACCGTTTTGACTCAGAGCCTCTTCAGTAGTTTCTGTTGGTTATCTAGCATTGAAATCTGAAGGAAGTTACTTGAGTTCTTTGGATTTTATTATCTTGAGCTAGAAAACTAAAGAGGTGAACTGGATGACTTCAGCTTTTAATTTAAAAAGTAACACCTATTTATTTTTACAGCCCCTTGTTTATGTTTTTCTGGAGCATATTTTAGTAATGGGAATATCATTGTTTTCTCAACATCTTCATGTTGTCTGTCACTTATCTCTTCACCTTGCTTAGAGATTCCGCCAGCAATGCGGGCTAGGTGGGATCAGTCCCTGGGTCTGGAAGGTCCCCTGGAGGAGGGCATGGCAGCCCACTCCAGTATTCTTGCCTGGAGAATCCCATGGACAGAGGAGCCTGGTGAGCTATGTATATGTAGTCCATGGGGTCACAAAGAGCTGGACACGACTGGAGTGCTTGAGCACATAGTAATGATTTAATAAACTAAATTATTCACTTTATAGATTTCAGCAAAACTGAACCCAGTGATAGCTCTCCAGGAAGGTTAGATGTAATATTGCAGGTCCTTTATTTGTTAGTTAATTCTGTAAATTATTTGACTGCATACCATGCACAAGGCAGACCTTAGCTCATGAAACATAATTTTCATCAAGAGAAGTGACTTTCAAATGTAGATACTGTTAGGTAGAAATTTTCCCCATGTCTAAAACATTTTGTTTTAGAGAAGAGTGGTTGGAGGTGAGGGGATGGTGGAGATTGCCAACCAATGAAAAGACCTGTGTTAGTGCTGTCCCTTCAAATCAGGAAATACCAATAGTAATAGCTTCCATTTAATTAGTGCTTGCTTGTGAGCAGCTAAGCACAATAACTGTGTGAAGTATAATGATTTACAGGTAAGGAAGCTGATTTAGAAAAGAATTAGAAAGGATTAGGTAACTTAACCAGATTACAGATGGATAGAAATTGGCCAACTGAGGATTTGAAGCTAGCTCATTTGACTGCAGATCTGAGCTCTCAGCTACTGCTTCCCACATAAAGGGATTCCACTCCCCTTTGTTTATTCCTGATCTTACTCAGATAAATCACCTCTCTAATTCAAGTGGATTTCAATGACTTGTTGGAATTAAACTGAGATAATGAGAAAATTTTTAGGTCAGTGCCTGCTGCTGCTGCTAAATCACTTTAGTCGTGTCCGACTCTGTGCAGCCCCATAGATGGCTGCCCACCAGGCTCCTCTGTCCCTGGGATTCTCCAGCCAAGAACACTGGAGTGCGTTGCCATTTCCTTCTCCAATGCATGCATGCATGCTAAGTCGCTTCAGTTGTGTCCGACTCTGTACAACCCCATAGACGGCAGCCCACCAGGCTCCTCCATCCACAGCATTCTCCAGGCAAGAATACTGGAGTGGGTTGCCATTTCCTTCTCCAGGTCAGTGCCTATACATAATAATAATCTCTCAATGGCCTTCCCGTGTGGCTCAGCTGGTAAAGAATCCACCTGTAATGCGGGAGACCTGGGTTCAAGTTTGGGTTGGGAAGATCCCCTGGAGAAGGGATACACTACCCACTCCAGTATGCTGGCCTGGAGAATTCCATGGACTGTATAGTCCATGGGTTCGCAAAGAGTCAGACGTGACTGAGCGACTTTCACTTTCCACTTTCCAATCTCTCGTTAACGTAAGTCTCCCAGGATGTTTTCTCGAGTATACCAGTATCTCACTAGTTTTAATTTTTGCCTTTAAGCTTTAGTTGGAATTAAATTGCTCTGTGATTTCGCCTCCTGTTATCTAATGGGTGCCAGCCTTTTCAACCAGGGATTAAAGAGAGAATTATACCCTTTAAAAAAATGAGTGACTATTTTTCCTTTCTCCTAAAGTTGGTAATACCATTCTAAATGCGGAGAAGAGAAGTTAATTATATATAGTGATTGCCTTAGTGCATTAAGGCTTAATTTTCTCTTGGAATCTCTATTTAAAAGGTTATAGAATGCATTGAGTGGCCCTGCGAGATGACTTTAGACCAGACAATTTGAAGTACTAGTTTGTCAGTATTAGTCATAGGAGTTACTAGAATGTGGAAATGAGACAGCCATGTTCAATCAGACAACACTGTAGGATGCATCTCAGCAGGAAAGGAGCTGCAGCAAACTCTCCATGTAAAAGCGACTACTCAGGGACTGGTCTTTGTGTGAAAGCACAGACTTAGCTTTCTGAGAGCGCACAGTCATGGAGGGGGGGATTTCGCTTCAGAGTGTTCCATTTCTCAAAGAGTATTCATTTCCAGGAAATGGGAATTAAAATACTTTTGCATTTTTAGTGTTCTTTATCCCCCCTTTTTTCCCAAGGGGTCACATTATTTATAAACAAATTTGAATAATGATAGATTTATTCTAACATCGTTAAAAATTGAGCACCAGGTTTAAGCATAACTGCAGATGGTGACTGCAGCCATGAAATTAAAAGATGCTTGCTCCTTGGAAGAAAAGCTATGACCAACCTAGACAGCATATTAAAAAAGCAGAGACATTACTTTGCCAGCAAAGGTCTGTCTAGTCAAAGCCATGGTTTTCCAGTAGTCATGTATGGATGTGAGAGTTGGACTATAAAGAAAGCTGAGCACCAAAGAATTGATGCTTTTGAACTGTGGTGTTGGAGAAGATTCTTGAGAGTCCCCTTGGACTGCAAGGAGATCAGACCGGTGAATCCTAAAGGAAATCAGCCCTGAATATTCATTGGAAGGACTGATGCTGAAGCTAAAACTCCAATACTTTGGCCACCTGATGTGAAGAACTGACTCCTTGGCACAGACCCTGATGCTGGGAAAGATTGAAGGCAGGAGAAGGGGATCACAGAGGATAAGATGGTTGGATGGCATCACCGACTAGATGGACATGAGTTTGAGTAAGCTCCAGGAGCAATGGACAGGGAAGCCTGGTGTGCTGCTTTCCATGGGGTGGCAAAGAGTCAGACATGACTGAGCTACTGAACTGATAAATTGCTCTTGGTGAATCAGTGAAAATTGAGATTTGTATATATTTTCCATCCTTTTGGCCTTATGTATACTGATTAGGTGCATAGAATTCTTTCTCAATTCTACTTTTAGCCTTTAGGTTGCTTATAACCTGGCTTCAGTGAATTCACGTACTTCAGATGAGTACGATTGAGTTCTTAAGCCTTAAATGTCCCTATATTAGAAATTAAAGGTTTGATTGATATTATTAAATTATAAGAATAAATTGGGTTTTTTTGTTTTACAAGTTGGGGCTATTGTTTAAGTTATTGTAAAGTTAGAATGAGTTTATTATTTTTCTGAAACAGAATTCATTGGTTTGATAAGATGGCATTTTGTGTTTTTTTCTTTTTAGGTTGACTATTGCATTTTTCGCACTCTCTGGGCTGGATATGTTGGACTCCTTAGATGTGGTGAACAAGGATGATATAATAGAGTGGATTTACTCCCTGCAGGTCCTTCCCACAGAAGACAGTGAGTGAGTTTTTAGCATTTTATTTTTAGTGTGACTGTTTGTACCTAGTGTAACACATATGTTGGACTCGGAAATCTTCGTGTATTCACAAACCATTAGCATATTGGGTTGGCTGAAAAGTTCGTTCGGGTTTTTCGTAACATCTTACAGAAAAACACGAACAAACTTTTCGGCCAACCCAGTATTTTATTCATCTGCGTTTTCCTTGTAATGCGACACTCCCTTTCTGTTTGAGCAAGGAGCTGACCAAAGGTAGGCACCGTTCCTGGAGAAGATGGCTCTGAGGTTGCACGGGACTCACAGTCGTGCACCGTGCTGCCGTGCACGCCCACCCCGACAGCTGCTGCTTGAAGACTTGTATTCCTCGTTTATGTCTCATTAGTTTTGGAGCATTCGCTGTTCTCCATTCTCAGCCATTCTTTTTGTCTCTTCACTGAAAAACTCGCCATCAAAAAATTTCATTCCAGTCTCTCATCCATTTTCCGCGCTAATGTTCCATTAGTGTTTCTTTAATGGTTTCTTAAACTCTTGGTTATACTTCAGTCATTTTTATGATCCTTAAAACTTTATATATTTTGATCAATTAAATAAATTCTCATAATTCATAAATTACTGATCAGCTAAATACACACAAGTTTTATAAACTCTGTTGTTCACTCCATTAAGTTTAAAATATCGAATATTGATTTAACTTATAAATGTTAGAAATTCTAACATTGAGTTGAATTAGATCAAGCCCAAATAAACTCCCAGAAAGTCATGTACTTCTTATGTGTGATCACAGATACCGTTCTTTTATGAGTCAGCATTTATAATTTAATAATGTGGTTCATTGGTTGGAGTAATCTCACCCAGGTAAGCTTTGGGGAAATAATAAACTAAAGCTTTATTTAGAAAGAAAGAGCTTTGATCTATTAGCAGATGCCATTGGACATAGTTTGAGCTTTCTACTTTATTATATTTGAAGTTTGTAGTATTTGTTTATAATTTTAAAAAGTCTTTGCCTGTTAATGAATTCTTGTTAGAAAGTGACTAGGCAGTTTTAGATCTTTCCAAATTCTAATATAAATATCTAATCATTTTTCACCAATGACATGAAGCAGCATATGTGATATACTGATGAGTAGTTATATATTCTAACATGTTGGTAAGTAGTATTTATTGAATGTTCTGCTAAGAATACTCTGCTAAACTTGTACAGAGGGACTGTTGTAAATTATGAGATATGGTTCTCATTCTCTAGGAGCTTGTGGCTGAGGTGAGGTCAAGTTCTAGTCACCTGCAAAATGGAAGTAATGTGTATTTTCCTTTTTAATCAGAATTTTTTTTTCCACTAGTCTGAGTGAAAGTCTATTAATATTAAACAGATATAAGGTAGTTTTGTTACAGATTATGTGTAATTTTTGTTTGTTTACTAACAATGCATGTCCTAACTAAAATTGTTGTTTCCTAAATGTATTTCACATAGTACAGATAGGAAATTATACACTGTGGTATATAGCAAAGCTATTCTATAAGAAGTTCCTGCTAAAATGTATTACCTTCAGACATTACTTATGATATTCATTTCCTTGGAATAAAATAGCTATGGTCTCTCTAGAAATGTAGGAAACCCATGCTATAGGTTACAATTATCAGAACACTAGTCATTTTTTTCATTGTGCTTCCTACTTTCTTTTATATTTTTATCTCCCTTTAAGGACTGTTTGCTGGCTTCATGATTGAGCTAATTAATACCATATTCTTTTTGAAGGCTTCTTACTTTTCTCATTATTTGATCTTTTGTTGCAAGAGCCTTGCCACCTGTCATCTGAAACTGTCACATTATCCCTAATAATTGTGTTAGCTGTGCACTCACCTGAATGACCGAAATGAGAGAGGTGGAAAGTAACAAATGTTGATGAGAATGTCGCACAACTGTAACTACTGTTTTATAGCTACTGTTTGGCAGTATTTCCTAAAACCGAACAAATATACATTCTGTGACAGCAATTCTACTTCCTAGTATGTATCCAACCAGAAATGAAAAAAATGTGTTCTCCAAAAGATATGTACTAGAATGGTCATTCATAGCAGTATTTTTCACAGGAGCCCAGAGTAGGAATATGCGAACTCCCCATCATTGGTATTGTAGATGAGTGCTGTATTGGAATTCACACACTGGGACACAGTACAGTGATGGGAAAGGACAATTTAGACCTGCATACAGAAATTCGGATGAATGTCACAAACATATTTTGTGATAAAGAAATATGTGGTATATTGTTCTGTTAATACAAAGTAAAAATCTCAGTAAAGCCAATCTGAGCTTTGGGGAGTGCCAAGAAGGAAGCAGGACGTGCTTCTTGGGTGCTGGTCATGTACTTTTTCCTGAGCAGAGAGCTGCTTACACAGGTAAGTTTACTTTGAAGAAGTTCACTAAGCTGTTTATTATACTTTGATGAGAGTTAAAAATTTTTTGAATTTGGGTGTATTTACCATCCCTTTTGAGATCTATCAGAGTTGTCTTTCCCATTGTACTTTCAAATCTGTGTGCTTCATAGATTGAAGCCCATTGCTAATTTTTTACTTTTTCAGTCATTGCTGCTTAACTGTTGCTTAAAATATTTCTGCTTGTGTCTGAATTGTAGACTTCTGGAGGACAGTGAATGAACCTGTCTTGGATTTTTTTTTTCTCTTTTCATGTGTAGTGCATCATTGCATATCAGCAGTTGTTGGACTGTAAATGACTTATACCTTTTCCTATTGTTTTTCTTTTCTGTATTTTCACATTTAGCCTACACCATCCTCTGGCTCCTCAAATATTTTCACATTTATAGGGCATTTGCAAGCTGAATAGAATGCTTTCTATAACTCATAACTCTCTATTTGTCCTACTTTGTGATAACACATAAAATCCTAGGTGACTTAAAAATCTTAAAAGTGTTAAACAGAGCCCGGAGGCCATAAAGGAAAAATTTGGCAGATTTGATTAAATATTTTTCAATGTGACATAGGGAAAGACAAAGTTGGATAAATAACAGACTTAGAGGAAATTGTGCCATTGTATATACTAGACAAAATATTAATATCCAAACTGTAAGAAGTTGTTAAAAGATTGAGGAAAAGATGACACATTGCCATTTAGAAAATGACAAAATTTGTGAATAGATACTTCACAAAAGAAGTACATATAGTCATTAAATACATGAAAAGAGGATCAACTGATACTATAAATTAGGGAGATGCAGTAGAAACAAGAATGTTAGCATTATTTTTCCCTACACATCAATTTACCAAAAACTTTTTAAAAGTTGGTAAGAATGTGGGGAAAAGAGCACTTTAATACTCTTTTGGTGGAAGTAAAAATTGTTGTTACCTTTGGAAGGGCATTTTAGAAGTGTAACTTTTTCCCTTCACCTATCCTTGTGTGTGTTGTAGCTAGTGAAATAATGGTCCCCCAAAGGCATATGCACCCAGAACTTCAGAGGGTGACTACATTTGGAAGGAGGGTCTTGGCAAGCATTAAGGATCTCGAGAAGAGTGACTGGTGTCCTTCAGAGAGAAAGGACAGGCCAAGTGAAGACAGACGCAGAACTCAGGGGTGGGTCCGCGTGGTAAAGAGCATCAGGAGTGCCCTCCAGAAGCTGAGAGTGGGTACAAACTGGGTTTTCCCTCAGAGCCTTCGGAAGAACCAGCCTGCTGACACCCTGATTTTGACCTCCTGGGCTCTCCAGCTATGAGAGAATACGTTTCTGTTGTTAATACATTTCCGTTGTTTAAAGCCGCCAGGTTAATGGTAACCAATACATGTGCACAGAAGTCTGTGTAGAAGGATGTGTTGGCATTGTTTGTTACAGTAATACGTCAGAAACAGTAAGTATCCACCAAAAGTGAAGCAGTTAAATAAGCTGTAGGCCAGTAAAGACTGCTACCCAGTAATAAGGTGATTGAGGTAGACCTGTACATGTTCTTACATGATAACTGTTCATCAAATGTAGTTAAATGATAAATACCAACGTGTACAGGGGTGTTTTGTTTTAGTAGTCTGTTAACACCAGTGTGTAGGAAAAGCTCCAAAAGCATCACAGAGCGCCTCTGTGGAGGGGAGGTAGATGAGAACAGAGGAAGGCGGCGGCTGGGTAAGGTACCTTAGTTTTATCTATATTTCTGCATTGTTTGAGTGCTGACAATAAATGTTCTGTATTTTTAAAATTTAAGTTAAAAAATCTTTATCTCAGCGTCTCTTCAAAACACAACACAAATAAACAAAAACTCAACTCACACGCTAGTAAAGTAATCCTCAAAATTCTCCAAGCCAGGCTTCAGCAATACATGAACTGTGAACTTCCAGATGTTCAAGGTGGTTTTAGATAAGGCAGAGGAACCAGAGATCAAATTGCCAACATCCGCTGGATCATCCAAAAAGCAAGAGAGTTCCAGAAAAACATCTATTTCTGCTTCATTGACTACACCAAAGCCTTTGACTGTGTGGATCACAATAAGCTGTGGAAAATTCTGAAAGAGATGGGAATACCAGACCACCTGACCTGCCTCTTGAGAAACCTGTATGCAGGTCAGGAAGCAACAGTTAGAACTGGACATGGAACAGCAGACTGGTTCCAAATAGGAAAAGGAGTATGTCAAGGCTGTATATTGTCACCCTGCTTATTTAACTTATATGCAGAGTACATCATGAGAAACACTGGGCTAGATGAAGCACAAGTGGAATCAAGATTGCCAGGAGAAATATCAATAACCTCAGATATGCAGATGACACCACCCTTCTGGCAGAAAGTGAAGAGGAACTAAAAAGCCTCTTGATGAAAGTGAAAGAAGAGAGTGAAAAAATTGGCTTAAAGCTCAACATTCAGAAAGCTAAGATCATGGCATCTGGTCCCATCACCTCATGGGAACTAGATGGGGAGACAGTGGAAACAGTGTCAGACTTTAGTTTTGGGGGCTCCAAAATCACTGCAGATGGTGACTGCAGCCATGAAACTAAAAGACACTTACTCCT